TTTCTGTCTGTAGTTTTTCTGCCCTCCTCCCTCTCAAAGGACACACACACAGTTACCACAGTTCAGGGACACATTTCAGCCAGAGATAGACAATAGACTTTTCTTGCACTTCAACACCCAGCGCCCCTCTCCCCAGCTCAGAGGTTCAACTTCATCTCTGTGATTAGGAAGGTTGTGATTGGTGAAGAACACAGTCCAGCAAGACATGTGTTCCTCCCTCCCTTCTTTCTCTCTACCACCATACACGGACATATTCTAGCTAGGGAAAGACACACACACACACACACCACGAGCATTTCTGGCAACTTGTCTGATAACAAGAGGAGTGAAAAAAGGTGTGCACTAGCTGACCTCTTCAACATAAGATGGGCTTGCCCTCAGTTCCTACCTAGAGATATGAGGAATCTGGATGTGTGAAAATATCGTACCCTGCACCTGATTCCTTTTGCACATGACCTCAACAAAGTATGCTTTTCTATTTTGCCATTCAGTAGCCCCGACAAGAACAAAGGGCTTTCCCCTAGAGCACTGTCACTGTCCAGTTTCATGGGCGCTCTGGGCTCACAGGGGAGTCTGGCAGTGCCAAGTCCAAGAGGAGAGCAAATTAAAAACAAAACCTTGGACAGCTCCAAGGGGCCCCTGCTGGCTGAACTGTTCTCTCTCAAGAAGGTGGCTGTAGTGTAGAGAAGATGTTGACTCTGCAGGTAGGCTAGAGCCACTGAGAGCCATATGTTGGCTGAAAAACTCCCTGGAGGAGCTGGCTGGCTGTTTGAAGAGCTCTTGCTTTATTTTGTAGTCTCTGAGGTCTGCAAGGCTGGTGTTAGAATTGTTCAGTGGAATCCCTGATCCAGACCTTGGGCAGGAATGAATTTTGTGCTTATTCATAAACAGAAAAAAAGCAAAGTGCTTCCCAACACACAGCACATAATAAATATTATTAATAAAGTACAGTGGTACCTCGGGTTAAGTTCTTAATTCGGTTCCGGAGGTCCGTTCTTAACCTGAAACTGTTCTTAACCTGAAGCACCACTTTAGCTAATGGGGGCCTCCCGCTGCCACCGCGTGATTTTCTCTTCTCACCCTGAAGCAAAGTTCTTACCCGAGGTACTATTTCTGGGTTAGCGGAGTCTGTAACCTGAAGTGTATGTAACCTGAAGCGTATGTAACCCAAGTACCACTGTATATGACTTAAATATAGCAACATTTCAAGGGAATTTACTTAATTGCAAGGCGCAACAAAAAGTTAAATGGCTAGTGATACCCAATAATAAAAGGCTGAGTCCTGCTGACCAGGAGAAGGTAGGAGCCCAAGGCTGCTGGCTCTTCTCCCTTCCTGGACGCCCTGCCCTCTCCACTCAAGCAGCACCCTGCAGTACTGAAATCCTCTGTTCTCTGCTGGAGTGCTGGGAAAGGAGATGCCACCTCCAGATTGTGCATTGTGCAATTCAATTGCTTTCGAAAAGGGGACAATCAAAGGAGACTCTGCTCCTGCTAATCTTCTGACCCTTTTGTGTGGGAAAGATAAACTAATAATTCTCCATCGCATTTCGTAAGTGGTTCATTTCGTATTTGGGGATGCAGTAACTCTCATTCACCAGAATTTCTACCCTGCAATTTCCTTCCTATTGTTGTTATTTTTTTTCTGAGAAGGGAAAAAACAACAACCCTGTTTATGCCCACAATTAGCCAATTATTGTTAGCTAGAGAGGAAATGCAACATTTTCAATGGAGCGCAAAATCCTTTATTATAACGCACAGGAATAAACGCTACATTATTCTTATGCCTAGGAAATTAATTTCCAGTGTTGGGGAATGTAATACTTTCCCCCCCAAGTCCCTTGCAGAAATATAGGAGTCATATAGTAAAAGTCCTAAATGAGGCATGGCCATGTTAATTCTCAGAGAGCAGCATATGGTTGCAAAGAACAATCTAGCACATTTCAGCTGGGTTATATTGCATATCAATCATATAATATATACAGATATAAATATATCCTTACTAGTTAGAAGCCCATGAATAGGAATACATAACAAAACATTTGCTGGAAACATACACAGTCAAGTGCAGGCAACTCCTGTTTCTAAACTTGTTTGGTGTTTAGATTATATTGTTTTAAGCTATTGTTTTGGGGCAGAGAGATCAAAAAATGAAGCAGGAGGAGAACCAAGCAGAGGAACAGCCAAATTTTGCTGGGTTCATGTTGGCAGGGTAGATGTGGGATGGCCTTTAGAAAACCTTTCCTCT